ACACACACACACACACACACACACACACACACACACACACACACACAAACGCAAACGCATATACCCTCCCACACACTTTTAACACTCCCAAAGGGACACAGATCTATTGTGCAACTCAGATGGGCATCGCTGCAGCCTGTCTCTCTCTCTCTCTCTCTCACTCACTCACTCACTCACTCACTCACTCACACACACACACACACACACACACACACACACACATATATGATAAGTCAATGTAGACAAGCAGATGTCTAGCAAGCATGGAGTCTCTTTAGTGATGATACCCATTTATTCTGATACCCAGAAGAACAAGACACAAAATATTACTTTTACTAATTAGTTATTATTTTTATGACTCTGCTGCTACTACTATTACCACTACTGCTAATGATAATAATAATGAAAATTATAATGATAATCATAAAAAGTAGGAGGTGAACAGGAAGACAAACAAGAAAAGGGAGATTAAGAATACGGAAAAAGATCAAGAGGCAGCCAGATGCAGCAGCCATTGTTCAGCCATATACGTGTGTATATATATGTATGTATATATGTATTAATTATTGATAAACACATATTTAGTGTATGTTATCAGGGAGAGGAGGGAGATATATATATATATTCTCTATTTAAAAAAAAAAAAATGAAACTTGATCTTCTATTTGGTTCTTTTTTCACCTTAATCAGTCAGTCAGTTGTTCAGTTCTAGTTCTTATTGTCTAATATATCTTAATGACAGACATTGACTGCCTGTCTCCATCTTGATAAAAGTTATCAAACTGTTCAAACAGCAGGGACAACGATGGAAACAAGTCGAGGACTTAATCATTCTGTCCCTGTCGAAGTCAGATTGGATGCATTTTTATTAGCATGGAATATCATACAAACACTCAACTGTAACAAAACAGGTCAACATTTCAATTTGTCCACACCGTTGTTTAAGGCACTTTCCTCATCATCCTCAGCTCCACTTTGCATTTGGTAATTAGCTTAGTTTGCTAATTAAATGCCAGCACGCTAAAGTCAGATGGTGAACACGATTAACATCACACCGGCTAAACATTAGCATGTTAGCATTGCAATTGTCTGCCCGTTAGCGTGCTGACGTGAGCGTTTAGCTCAAAGCACCAGAGCAGAGCAGCGTGACTGTAGACTGTAGTCGTAGCTATAAATACATCATGATGTTACAGTCTTGATTTGATTGAGCATCCAGTGCAGTTATAAAAAGATCTGAAAGACAGCGATTGTTTGGTTTATCTTCTGCAGCTCTGGATGAGAGGCAGGGCCATGCTTCTTCTATCACTCATCACCTTTTATCGTCCCATCCCCCTCCCTTCTGTCTCCCTCCGCTCTCTAACTGTTACCATTTAGGGTATCCGTGCCCCACTGCCAACACCAAGGAATGTGTGTTGTGTTCTTGCCTTGTGTCGTGTTTGTGTCGTCCCACCGTGTGTTTGTGGGTGCCTGTATTGTTCTCCTACGCACTCGGTGCTGCTGTTGTTTTTTTTTCTTCTCCTGGGGTGGGGGGGCAATAATAATGTTCTCAAAATACTTGGGCATGCTTCCTTACTAACAGTTGGTCTTTGTGTGAGCGCTTAGGTGTGTGGGTGTCTGCGTGTCAAAGGGGTTTGTGCGCAGAGGCGTTTGTGAGTGTGTGTGCAGGTGTTAGACACTCACCATTGTACAACACTGAGTTTGGAGGCATCTGACCCTCAATAATAGATGTAGCTGCAGTGAATATTTAATGGGGGGGGGGGGGGGGGGGCTACTTGCACACCTTTAGACACGCAAATTTTCACGGAAATGGAAATATAATATCCACGCCTGTATGACTTTTTAGACCAAAGCTCTTGGAGAAGTGGTCTCTGTGTGGTCGGGCGATGCTCTCAGTAAGAGATACTGTGGAAGTTAGCCCGCAGGCTACTTTAGCTTTCACTCCTCCCTCACCCCTATCTCTCCCTTTCCTCCAACAGGGTTCTCAGGATAGTGCTGGCGGTCAGGAGGGACTCGTGCCTCCACCTTTCTCCGCATTCCCGCCGCCTCCGCCGCCGCCCCCCCAGAACGGCCTGGCCCTGGATTACGGGGGCAGCCTGTACGCGGCAGGGGCCGTCCAGGGCCCCGTGGAAGCCGGCGTAGCAGTGAACAGCGCCGCAAACATCGTCAACAGCCTCGGTGTCCAAGTGAGTGCCGGCCTCTTCCTCTATGTGTGTGTGGCCCACATGAGGTCTTTGGCTTGAGAGAGTGCCGAGAGCAATACGCGTTACAGATTAAGAAATTATGGTTAATCAATGGGATGCACCAATCTGACTTTTCTTCTCATGATACAAAATCTGATACCCAGTATCAGTGAACTGAACAGTGCCAATTACAGATCCTTTACCATCCATTGTCCCTTTCCTCAAGTAAAAGATCTACAAACCTCTCTCTAACACTTTACAGTCACCAGTTTATTTTGATACACGTAGCTAAAACTAATAACCGTCTAATCCAACAGTCCTGTAATACATACAGACATAATGACGGCTATAATGTTCAGTTTTTACTGTATGGCCATTTTGAAAGTTGTAGTTTGTGGTGCTGTTGAACTGTATTGTGTTAAAGTGACAGGCGTTGTCCAACTGTAGCCTTTACTTTGGATTCTGGTAAAGGGTGTTTCTAGATTAGAAGATTTGATCAATGAATCTAGAAAATACTTGCATCTAGAAAATATAGAAATAATTGTTTCGTATATAAAAAAAACTCTGTCTCTTCCTTGTCTCCCTGTCTCCCTGTCTCTGTCCTAGCAGTCAGATGGGTCCTCCCAGATTGACGGTTCGTCAGTGGTTGGCTCAGGAGGAGTCGGTGGTGGAGGGAGCATTGGGGATGACTCAGATGCCAAGGGGACCCCCAAACGCCTCCACGTGTCCAACATCCCCTTCCGCTTCCGAGACCCCGACCTACGGCAGATGTTTGGAGTATGTAGACTGCAGTACTCCCCCCTCCCCCCCTTTCCCGCTATGCATCATCAAATAACAGCAACCCAGAAAAGTAGCTTTGGATTAAAAGCATGTCGTTGTTAAAATAATCCAAGGAACGCTCCGGTGACGTCCACACTGTGTCCTCAGATGTTTTTTCACTGTTCCTGTCCTCGAGTGAGATTATAACAGAATATAAGGCTCTGTAATATTCGTTACAGCTAAAAGGAATCTTCTGTAAGATTTGACTGAAAAACAAAACCTTGACCTGGCATGTTACCTTGTAGAAAGACGACTAGATGATTTAGAGCCAGGTGTAAAATTCTGGCTTCACGATCAGCTTTTTTTCTTCTTTTTTTTTTGCAAGAGGAATGCGTCTCAAATGTGGTGCAGAGAAAAAAGCAGAGGCAAGGAAGACATGGTGGAAGAAAAGCCCATGATGAACTGGCTCGGTGCCAGTTTTTCATGGTTGAACAGTGCTGACACCCTGTGGCAAGATGCAGCACAAGACTTGCATGTTTTTTCATTTTATTTCTTTTATTTTGCAGCAATATGGCAAAATCCTCGACGTGGAGATCATTTTCAACGAGAGGGGGTCCAAGGTATGAAGAACAGAAAACAAAGCGTCATTTTGGATAATTGTTAACAAAAAGCAAGCTTATCAAAAGCCCAACACCCTTTTTTCACCCCCCCCCCCCCCCCCCCCCCTCTTTCTTTTTTCCATTCTCCCCATCTCCTCTCAGGGCTTCGGTTTTGTAACATTCGAGACGAGCGCGGATGCGGAGCGGGCCAGAGAGAAGCTTCACGGCACGCTGGTGGAAGGACGTAAAATCGAGGTAACTCACAACGCCTTGCCCGCCCCCCCCCCCGCCCCCTTTTTATTTTTATTTTTAAATGGCGACCATTTTCTCCTCTGTTTCCCCTTCCATGTCCGACAATGAGAATGAGTTTGTTCTGGTCGTCTCTGCCCCAGCGAAGGTTTTCCGGGTGGATGTATGTGTTCGACTCTAACCCCTCTGGCTTCACTACAGCATGGTGCAGCGGTGCCACGCACACAGACGTCTCCTCTGACGCCACTTCCTGTCGATGTTTATGCTGTTGTTGTTGTCGATGTTGTGGGCTGTCCATTGCACCTTGATCTTGAAGCTGTGTGGTTTGCAAAGCATGCTGTGTGGAGTGGCTACGCAACAGGCATGGCCGGCGATACGTCGCCACACGACGCGGTCGCTGACGATATCCGCTTCCGTCACAGCATGTAGGATCTTATCTCTTCTTTTTATTATTTATTATATTTTTCGTTCTCCTGCACCTTTTTTCATGACCATCATCACTTCTTCCACGATCATGATGAGTGGCCATCTTTGGTTAATGGTTGTGTAAATGACTGGAAGGGCAGTTAATAGCCTTTTTTCCTGTGAAAAAAAACCAAAAGTGCTTGCTGGTGTCTGTGAGAGGCTACTGTATGTTGCATGGATGGATCATAAGGTCAGATATCGTCATGGAGATTTATTTACACGGGTGACTCTGGGTAGCAGGTGTGATGTGTTAACAGACTGATGCATGATGGGGGAGCATTTTCAGGGGGCAGTTTGAGTCTTGAAATGAGTCTGCTGTGAGACGTGTGGTGTCATTTCTGATGCTTCATGAAAATGTTTAAATTCAGGCGTGCAAGATGAATGGTTAAAGAAACAAAACGTTTTGTTTACACACACACAGTTGCATCCACCACTCCTGAAAAAAAAAAAAAAAAAAAAAAAAACAGATCTCACGGAAGTGCATTTTGTTGTGGCATCTTTTTTTTAATTTTATTTATTTGTTAGCATGAGCTCGGTTTTCAGTTGCAAATGGCCTTTGGAGATCAGATACACCATGCTTTCGCCATTTGCTCTGGCTCTTGATAAAAAAACAAACAAAAAAAACAATCACGCTTTCTTTTTACTCGCTACTAAAGCTCTTCTGCATGCACGGTCTCGAATGTCTTGCACTCCTCTCTGTCTCTGTGTGTGGGTGTGCAGGACTAAAAATATGGAGGGCGAAGATAGAATGAACACGTGAAGAAGAGTATGCAATAGATAGCTGCCGCTCCCTCTCCTTCCTTTCTTATTATTTATTGGTTCTCCTCCATCTCTCGTCACTCTTTTTTCACCAGGCCAGTCTGTCTGTCTGTCTCTCCCAGTTTGTGTGTCCCCCATATGCACCTGCATTTCTGCTGTCCACACCCCCCAACCCCCCATCTCTCTCTGTTTCCCTGTCCCGTGATGTAGCCGAGTAGCATAAACATTGGAGGTTAAGTTTGAATTTGAGAGAATATTTTTGAGCAATAATAACGGGGAGTTCTCCTCCCAAGGCAGATTTATATTCCTCACATTCTCTGTTTCCATTTGTTTGCCCCTTTATCAACTTTTATGATCTGTGTTTGTAGTGGGGTTTGTTTTTAACCAGTCGCGGCGAGAGTGTTGTCAAATGGCTGATACGTGTAGCTGACTGACGCGTGACCTGTTGCATCACTTCCTCTCTACCACATGGTGGGGGTTGCTTTTCATTACCTCGTTTTGTTTATGTTTTCTTTTTCTTTTTTTGTTTAGTTATTTGGTTCATCATTTCTTTCTTACATATATTTTCTCTATTTCCCTGATGATTTTTGTATGTTGTTGTTGTTGTCAGTCTCCACGGTAACTGCTCGCGTGTCCTCACGCCGTTTCCCTGGCAACGGTAAGTTGTGTACACATGGCATCATCTTTGAATGACCCCCCCCCCCCCCACCCCTACCCCATCCGTCAAAATAGTGAAATAAAATGCACCCAACACCCAAATGACAGGGACTCCTTTACTGAAGGGAGCCTGCCTGATTGATTGAATGATTGACAGAACCCGATTGGCTAATCCTGTGATTGATTGGGGAGGTGGTGAATGAAACGATTACGAGATTAGCCATTGATCGCATGGCGGTATAACGGCCACCTGTATAACTGAATGTACTGCATCTATCTGCAAGTGCGACAACTATGACTACCACTTCTTATGCATTCATTCCAATCACCTTCTCTAACTGCATTCAGCATTTAATTCCAGAGCTGTATCCTGCATGGTTTACTCTCTTCTTCTCGTCATCTGTATGACGTCCATATTAGTACTATGTCATCTCTCCGTGTCGTGTCGGCTCAATATCTGCATTCTTTTTGCACCTGTAGTGGGACAGCATGTCGAAAGCATGAGTGCTATGTTAGCGTTACCGGAGAGAGGATACTAGTTGTCTGTGTATCACGGTGTACTGCAGTACTTGACGATCACTTCCTGTGCCGCTTTGTAGACTGCAGACCGTTGTAGAGGTATGGCTGTTTTGGACTTCACATTCAAATTTAAGATATAAATGTGGACGAATAGAAAAGAGGATGCAAGCTTATTCTACTTCGAAGCAAAGCTACTCTTCATATTTAAAAACACACTTTTAGCATTTGAGCCCTTTTTTTAAAGAAGAAAAAAAAGCTGCCACCAATGTATCCGTAGACCCCAGCAAAGCAAACCTAAGAATTCGTGCCACTGATTAAGCAACGGCAGCTTTTTCTTTGTTCTGATTCCCGTGACGAGGTGTCCTTGTTTTACTTTTTGATCAGTTTGGTTCTGGATGGTGTGTGTGTTGGTGGTTTGTGTGCTTCGAGGTCTCTCTGGTGTGCGACACTGATCTGGAATGCCTGGCAGTGTTTCACAACCATGGTCTGATTTGATTTATTTATTTTTATTTATTTTTTTGAGGAATGATATTTGCATCCCCCATCCTCTCTGTCTTTATCTAGACTTTATTCTCTCTCTCTCTCTCTCTCTCTCTCTCTCTCTCTCTCTCT